CTCCTTCTTCCTGCCCGTTTTTTGTTTTTTCATTTCATTACCTCTTCCTGTTTCCAAACTTCCCTGTATTTCTTGACATGCTGAAAATGTTTGGGCCTTGACTCTATTACAAGAAGAATTCAGGATGGCAGGACTGCATCCCATCACCTTTCCAGCCTCAATCAGTATTTTTCTTTTTAAACATCTGACACTTAAAAAAAAATAATAATAAAAAAAAATAAAAAATAAAAAATAAAAAATAAAAATAAATAAATATATATATATATATATATATATATATATATATATATATATTATTGATTTTTACAGAGAGGAAGAGAGGGGGAGAGTTAGAAACACTGATGAGAAACATCAATCAGCTGCCTCCTGCACACCCCCTAGTGGGGATGTGCCCCAAACCAAGGTACATGCCTTTGACCGGAATCAAGCCTGGGACCCTTGAGTCCGCAGGCTGACACTCTATCCACTGAGCCAAAGCAGTTAGGGCTCAGTTGGTATTTTGAAAAGAAAAAAATATATAAATGAAAAACTAATTGTGTTGGATATTAAAATAAATATTTTTAAAGTTTGTAAAGTATCTAAAATGTTATTGACAAAAGCAGCTCAGAAAAGATCGATATATTGATACAAATGAAAATAAAAAAAGAATCAGGTTCATCCTTCCGAAACAAGAAAAGATCTGCAATATCTACAATGTCAATTATTACAAATCACAGGCAAATCGTTTCATTGCAATCTGGAAACACACACATTTTCCACTTAGCCAATCAACGCTAATTATTATGACACAGCTCCTTGGTGAGCGTACATTTTCTTCATTCAGTAAATACACCTACCATGTTCCTGACTGTGTTAAGCAACCTCCGCTTTCTTCTGAAAACAAAACCCACACAGGTCTTGTGTGGAAGAAGGAAGAAGCTGTCCCCTCCCGGCCACAGGCGGCTCTCCCTATGATAAACAGCAGCTATCTGTCAATGGCTAAGGACTCGGTCTGGGAAACATTTTTCTCACCTCGCAACATCACCTGAAACGCGAGAGAATAGAACCAACTGGCAATCTAGGTTAGGCGTGAATTCAAGCACCCAGAGGATACATTAACAGCTTTTCTCTAAACAAAATTGCACCTGTGAGAGATATAATAATAGCGATGATACCACCACCAACAGTAAAGTCTAAACAACAGGTGCAAACAGATATGTACAACCAATTATCTAAGAAGAAGAAGAAAAAAAGAAGAGTAAAAAGCATCACATTGAAAGCAATTACAGTCTAAGCTCGGGGGAGTGTTTCAGTCTCCTTCCTCCGCTTCTATGCTCTTTTTCTAAAGCGCATAGCTGATACTGAAATTAATTACACGATCATCTCTGAAAACCCCTCCTTTCAAGGAATCCTTAAAAAAGTAAATAAAATCCCAACCCTGCAGTCTCCCTATCCAAGGCCCAGCTCAAATGCTATCCCCATGTGGGATGTTTCCCCGATTCTCCCACTAGGAAGCCTCTCCGTCATTCTTCCTCCAGCCTCCTAATGAAAATTGCCTGCACCTCTCCTGACACCATCATTTCTGACTGGACTCCTTGGCACGTGTCCGTTTCTATCGCTGGAATGTCACTTCACAGACAGCAAACATGTTAACTCGGGATGCCTCCATCTCAGTAACCGTTCAGTGATATGGGTTAAATCTAGATTATTTTCTACTTGAAAATTATGCTGTGCAACTTTCCATGTTCGAAAGCTGCCATGTTACTTCCATTGAATTTGTTTAAAGAAAGCTTTGGCAAGGCTGAGGAGATTCTTCTCACTGCGTTTGCATTCAACACTATGTCTAAAAACAAAACAACAAAAAATGTAAAGGTGCTGGCGGTGTATCTGTTCAGCATCACTGTGGTACATTAAAAAAAAAAAAAATTCCTGAAGCCGTTTTCTTGTCACAATCACCATGACAATAACATTTGTATCTACTTTTTGCACAGTAGCTGCTCCAGGAAAGCCCACGATGGCAGGACTGCTGGTCAGCTTCCTAAACATGGCTCTGAAAGGATCGCCCTTTTCATTGCACTCTTAAATTCTCTGGTGATAATAAAAAGCAAAAGGATTTCTGTTTTCCATACTGCCTGACCCAAGAGGAGCTATTTTCGGAGTAGAAAGAGCAATATAGCCTATAAAAGTCATCACATTTGGCAAAGGCACTGAAAATAACCCAGGTCTCTAGGCAGGGCTCACAGCAAAAAGAAAACCACCACTATTATTATGATCCTACTGAATAATGTAGCTGCTACCCAGCTTAAAGCTCGGGATGCTTTCAGGATTTAAACAGCTAAGAATAAGGATCACACACTAAATTTAAAACACTCCACTGAAAATCATATTCTGCTGAAAACTTGTCTCTAAGCAACAATCTAAATGGTCAAAACTTAGTGAAAACACTTCCTTTCAAAAATAGCCTACTGCCTCCGAGTCTCCATTGGCTCATTACTGTCAAATGCACGTATAAAAGCCCATTGTACGGAAACTGAAATACATTTGAAGTGAAATAAATCTCTTAAATGCAAAAAAAAAAAAAAAAAAAAAGGCAAGCCCTCAGTTGCCACAAACCCAAAATGCATTAAAATGTCTTTGATTTCTAATCATTAGATAAGGCTAGGTTTTCTTTAAAAAATCAGTCTATTGAACAAGTGACTGACATGGGGAGATCATACCCTGTTAAGTGGAAAATAGCATAGACATAGAAGATATCATCAAAATTTTACAATAAAGTCAAAAGTTATTTTTAAAAAACAAAAGACTATTAGATTAAGAACCCTTAATGCGCCTCCTCAGAACCCTAAAGAATTCTATTGAAACATCAGAGGACTTTACTTCCACGTATTTCCCATGGCTATTCCAACTAAACCAGCGTGAAACGGTCAGGTCCCCCCTATCCACCCACAGACTGAAAATCAGACTCCGGGACATCAGAAAGAGAACACTGACCTTGTGAGCACACAAATCCTGGATTCTGTTTGCAATCTAACCAAAATAAAACTGCGGACCATAAGTCAGATGCTTTTATTTGGTTTAATTGTCAAGTGATTAAAATACCGAGAGTAGTAGAAAGAAGCCTGTTCTATGTGGACCAAACAGACAAATCCAACCTTCCTGAAAACCAAGAACACACACACACACACACACACACACACACACACACACACACCTCTTTCCCTCCCGCTCCTTCCCTTTCCCCATCTCCTGGGGATGCAGCTACTCAATCATTTCAGCTTCCCAGCGACCCAGAGCGGCTTGTACGGACAGCCAGCTTCCTCCGGGCGCTTCCCAGAGGGGACTCATTCACTGCATCACCTGGGGGCAGATTTCATCTGAAACCTGCAGCAAGCTCCTTTTCGTTTTTTCTTTTCTTTTTTTTTCCCAGGAGAAAAAAAATCAATTTTCCTTAAAGTTTCAAGTCAAAACTTGCCAGTCTCACCAATGGAAATCAGCAGCCCCCCCCCCTCCTCCTCCTCCTCCTCCTCCTCCTCCTCCTCCTCCTCCTTTCTTCCCTCTCTCCCTCCCTGGGCTTCACTGTTCCTTCCAGGATTGGCTCCTCTCAGTCCAAGGGGCTCCTCCAGACCTCCCCTCTCCGCTCCCTTCTCCCTTCTCCCCTCTCCTCTCTCCCCACCTCGCTCCCCTCTCTCCTCCCCTCTCCACTCCCCTTTCCCTTCTCCCCTCTCCACTCCCCTTTCCCTTCTCCCCTCTCCTCTCCCTTCTCTCCTCTCCCCTCTCCCCTCCCTTCTCCCCTCTCCCCTCCCTTCTCTTCTCCCCTCTCCCCTCCCTTCTCTTCTCCCCTCTCCCCTCTTCTCTTCTCCCCTCTCCCCTCTCCCCTCCCTTCTCTTCTCCCCTCTCCCCTCTCCCCTCCCTTCTCTTCTCCCCTCTCCCCTCTCCCCTGTCTCCTCCCTTCCCTTCTCCTCTCCCCTCTCCTCTCCCTTCCCCTCTCCCTCCCCGCTCCCCTCTCCCTCCTCTCCCCTCTCCTCTCCCCTCCAGAAAGCCTCACCTCCACACGGAGGGATAAGTTGGAGCAGCCCCGGCAGGACACGCTGGCCCTGCCCTCTGCTGCCTGGGGGCCGATCATGCTCCGGTCACCAGAGGGGAAAAACAAAACAAAAAAAAAAAACAAAAAACGAGGGAGGCCACGCTCCCCTCGCTCCATCCCCGGCACCCTCACGTGTGGTCCAGGTTCCTGGAGCCCGACGGGGGGGATTCAATGTGCGGAGCTCGCCGCCCGGCAGCGCCTCCCCAGCCCCGGGAAGGTCCTTTCCCCGGGGAACGGGGCCGCCGGGCAGGGCTGGAGCCGCCCGAGCCCGTGCGCGCGGGCGTCCGAGGGAGAGGGACCGGGAGCTCCTCTGGTCTCTGACCCCAAAGGAGACGGCGAGCCGGCCCCGGGGGTGGGTCCCCAGGGGTGGGCTCGCACCCCGGGGCGCGGGGGCTCCGCGGGAAGAACGGGGACCCTCCCCGCCCCCGCCGCCAGGGATGGGCGTGCGGACGGCGATGCCCCCGCGGGCGCCGGGCCCCCCGGGCCCCCCGCACCTGCCCCGCCTCGGCTCCCCGCTCCCCCGGGGCCGCGGGGAGACGCCGAACCCCGGGACGCGCGCCCCTGCCGCCCGAGGGGCGAGCGGAGAACAATGGGGCGGGGGGCGAGCTGGCGGGAGCCCACGCCCACCTCCGCCCCCGCGGCCCGGAGCCACCTCCGCCTCCGCGGCCGGCCGGTGGGCGCGGGGCGCAGGGGAAGCCCGGACCCGGGGCCGCGCGCCGCGCTCCGAGAGCACCGGGGGGACCCCCGCCCGGGCGGCCGCCTCGCCGCCGGGGACCCGCCACCGCCCTGGACACCCCACGGCGCGGCGCACCGGGCAAGGGGCGCCCGGGGACCCGGCGCACGCAGAGCCCGGGAGCGAGCCGGCTCCCCCGCCCGGCGCCCGGCGCCCGGCCCCCGGCCCCCGGCCCCGGCCCGCGCCGCCCGGGACCGCGGTTACCGTCGCCTCCGCCGCCGCCCCCGCCGCGTCCTCCGCGCCGCGGAAGAAGCCGGCCTCGCAGCTCGCGCCGTCCGTCGCCATCTTCCAGCTCCGGGGTCCCGGCGCGGGCTCCGCGCGGCGGCTCCAGGCTCAGCCTCTGCGCGGGCGGCGCTTCCCCGCCGCGTCCGGGCGCGGGCTCCGCCGCCGCCGCCGCCGCCGCCGCCGCCGCCGCGCGCGCCCCCCGCGCTCCCCGCCCCGCTCCCCGCCCGCGGCCCCGCCGCCTTAACCCGCTGCGCGCCGGAGCCCTGCGGCCGGGCTGGTCCCCGCTGATGCCAGTCCTGGGCGCGCCCGGCTCCGCAGGGAGGTGGGGAGTCACAGCCCCGCGGTGCGGGGAGGGGAGCCCAGACCCCACACCGGGCCGATGCAATGCCCGGCCTCCCGATCGGAATCCCCTGAGAAATAAGGAGAATCCTCCACTGCCCTCTCCCCCCGCGGGGAACCACCTAAGGCACAGTTCTTTTTCTTTTTTTTCTCTCTTTTTTTTTTTTTTTCCTTCTTGGTATAGCTATCTGGCCTTGTTTTATTGTACTGTTTCATCTTGTCCTCCAAAAACCATCCATTCCCAAGTCAGAATGTGTTCTGTTCACTGGATGTCATTCTGCACCTGCCCACTCTGCCCATACCTTTCCATACAATCTCCTTTTCAAGAAATTGAAGCTGGGACCCCTTTGACTCCAATCTGAGGTGTTTTATGAAGAGTAAATCCAGAAATGCTAAGTGCCATTGCTTATAAAAGCAGGGTCTTTACTTTTAAGACAATTTAAAAGGTTCTCTCTCTGTGATGGGCACACACACACAAAACAAAAACTTTACTGAAAATTGATTTAATGAGAAGTGGAGGTCTTAAAAGACATATCATAATGAGTCTTTTGAGTTAATGAGCATAATGAGTTAAGCCCAAATTCTCAATTTCCCCCTTCTCACTTCTCATCAGTTCCTACCAATTCCCAAGATGTGAAAATCTATCACCTTATCGAGACCAGATGGTACAGGCCTTCCCAATCACCAGATCGCAAAAAACGTGTTGAAAGCACAAAATCAAATGGAGGCATTCAAGCTGTGTCTCAAAAGAAGTAAAATCAAACTACAACCAACTCCTGGACTTGAAATTCTGAAAGATGAATGTCTGGAAAATTCGGTGCAACAGATCAAAGCTGAGTTTCAAAAATGGCTGACTCCTATTGAACGCTTTGGGCACTTGAATTTCTTCACTTCCCAAACTGACCTAAACATGGCACACACCAGGGCAGACAAAATATTTTCTGCAAAGGCTCTCAAAGGGTGGGTCAATAAATTATAAAAGGTTCCCTCCCAGGAAGATCTACCTCAGGAAAGAATTTTCACCTGGAACTCGGGGGTTCAGAGTCACAGGTTTAGAAATCTCCTCAGGGGTATCCTATTAGCAGAGGTGCTCAGTGATTTATGTTCTTTGACTTGAAAGCTGCTCCCTTTCTTAACCCTATGGTTTTCATCCTTGTTCTTTTATACCACTTTTTCTTATCCAACATTTTCTCTGCTATTGCTCAATATTGGGATAACTAGATTCCTTACAAGATGAAAGAAAAGTATTTGACATTTAAACTTAGATGCTGAACTGACAGCAAAAACTTATTTGAAGTTGGAACCAAAGCAACCCTTGTTGTTTTCAAAATGTCTATTCACACATAACAAGGCAATGAATATTTCTGATACTGATTCTTGATCCTAAGAAATTAACCGGCTCACTTCTGTAGGGGGGGGGGGGGGTGTAAAAGAATAAAACTTGGGGTTAAGAACTAATAATATAACAATGGCAATATTTATTGGAAGGAAATTATTTCATACCTGCAGCTCAAGTTTTAAAAATCATTGGGAAGAAATAGCTTCTATTAGTACAAATAAAATTAAAGCAGAATCCCAACACAAAGGAATCAACCAGTTCCTGAGTGGATGGTTTCTTCCCTCTCATCTCTTTCAAATATTTTATTTATGTATTTATTGTGAAATAAAAAATAAACAGGTGGGGGAAAATCACAGGCTGGCGCATTTTTTAACTGCCCAAGTCCAGGACCTTGGAAGGAAAATAAACAGTGTTTGGTCTCCGCCTTTCAGCTGCCACTGCCCATCGCCCAGGGTAGCAGGGATGTCCACCCTACGGTCAGAAGTGGCACACGAGGAGTTTACTCTAAAGGGGGGACACTTGCTGCTAATTTCACTTCTCTGCTGAGAATTAGCCTCTGCTGAGGCTGAGATCTCGAATGAACGCTTTATGGAAGACTTGCTTTGCCCAAAGACACGGGCACTGTTAATGTTAAACCAAATAGATCTGAAAGGGGAGTGGCTTGATGGTTCTAGAAATTAAACCTTTTGAAGTTTCATTAAACAGTTAAGAAAGCAAGAAAGCAAGAAAGAAAGAGAGAGGGGGGGGGAGGGAAGAAAGGAAGGAAGGAAGGAAGGAAGGAAGGAAGGAAGGAAGGAAGGAAGGAAGGAAGGAAGGAAGGAAAAAAGAAAAGACATCCCAGGACTAGAGTGAAAACTTCTGAAACGCAGGGGAAAAGATGAAAGTATAAGCAGGAGAAAATCCCTTTAGCAAAACTGAAAAATGAATTTTAATCAGTAAATTACCTTCAGCTTTAAAATAGAAGGAGAGATGCTGAATAGATTATAAGCAGAGAAAACAAGTTACATTTTTTCGACTTTAAACATAATGAAGTAGATGATCTGACAAATGAATTTACACAAATCATTTCCTGACCCCTGGTCGTGCTCAGCCAGAGCACACTCTTCAAAGTTCTCTTTTAACACCAGTGGAACGGGTTGCTGCAGCTAGGAATGCAGGCTGCACGCATTGGGGGGGGGGGGGGGGGGGGGGGGGGCTGCAGGGGCTCAGCCACATCCTCCAATCCACCAACCCCCAAACTCAGAGAGTTATGCACAAAGATGCAATGAGATGCTTCTTCTCACGTGAAAAGATAAACGAACATTCACATATCCTGAAACGGTTTCCCTTGTGGAATAAGAGAATTCTGTATTTCCGTCAAATAACAACATTTACGTGAACTCCAAAGAGCAAACCATATGTTGTCATGTCTTAGTATTGCCAAATGACAAAATTGGGGAGCAGCAAATAACTTCTGACTGTATCTACAAGGCTGTAGTTAAGTAATTTAAATATTCCAGACTACGCGTATCCCTGTCTGCACCACTGCCACCCATTTGAAATGTCCCAAAGCTTGACCCCAGGGACTCTACACAACAGCACAGATGAGCTTCAGTGCTATGTCTCTATCCCACGTTTTTGAAACCAAGACATTGCCAGGAACGAGTTTTCATATGACGGAACTACATCCCCTCATAGTCACCTAGTCATTATCTACATGTGCTTGGCTCTTTGTGGATTTCACTCAGTACTTTGAGTCCTAATTTGGTTAGCCGCTCTTGTCAACAACCTATGGTTTGGGAGGCCTCCTCCACCACTGGAGCTGGTTCGTGCCAAGAGAATGCAAGCTAATTTTACCTAAGCTGAAGAAAAACATAACGAGGAAATGAAATCTGCTGGGTAGGAAGCCAGCCAAAGCTCAACATCGCTAAGTCATTATAATCACTCGCAGCCCCCTTTAATACCACCTCTAGCTGGGACCTGCATTTGGCCATTCACTGCTAAAGTGATGTCCAAATATGCGATCTTAGGGAAGACTTAAGACACAGTAATAACTTTTTTCCTCCAGTCTGGCCCCTCTAAGAACAGAAACTGGGACGAATGCAGAACAATAAAGCAGTGTTGGTTCTGCTCTATTAAATATTTTTTAAACCATCCCTTGTTGGTTTAGACTCTTATCTGTAGAAGTCATTTATGAGAGTAAGTGTTAGCGCAGAAGGGTGTTTTAGTGAAAAACCATTATGGAAAATCGATTTTAATAAAGGAATCTGGTCCCACTGCTGCCCCTCATCCACCTGAATTAGAAAGGAATCTGAATATTTCTGTGTATTCAGCCTCTTTGGCAACCCCACCAGCCTGCAGTATGTCGTTACTAGGCAACCACTAATGCAGGGGTGTTTATGCCATTAGGCATTAATTATAGCGAGCTTTATTTTTCTTAGAAAGTTTTAAAACTATATAAATAGGTTGTGAGGTCAGACCCTTTTCTCCTTTGATTAAGAGTGTAGAAGTAGCTATGAAACCAAAGCTGAGATTTTTTCACAATGGGTATGTATTGTTCAGTTCAAAAGGAAATGTGGTATTTGAAGCATTAGTGAGGAACTAAAGATTATGCCTTTCAAGTTTAATAAATACACAGATGACATTTATGATTGAGTAAATGATGATTTACTTATGATACAAAAAGCAGAAGAAAAGTCATAAATGTATAGCTCTCCCACGTAAAATTGTGAAATAAACCTGAAAATATATATAACTTATTCATTTTTTATTATCAAGTAGTTTCTATGTTATTCTATCCATGAACCCCATTCTTTAAGAACCTTACACTATAGATATTAGGGAGGTGTCATATTAATTAACATTTTAAATATTTAGTGACATATAAATTATGTATTGTATATTATATGTAACATATATTTATGTAAAGGTGTGTATAGATATATGTATATATAAAATACATTATCATTTTTAGGGTGGGATGAAAATTTAAATACGATTGGCAAAGTAGGGTATGCAGAGGAGAGAGATGAAAGATTCTCAAATGCTATCCCTCTTTCACTTTAAACAAAACAACTCAGGTCCCATACTGAGAGTTATGGCTAAGTATAGGGTTACATGATTAAGATCCTATTTCTTTTTTTTTTTTTTTTTTTTTTTTTTTTGATTTTTAACAGAGAAGAAGGGAGAGAGATACAGAGCCAGAAACATTGATGAGAGAGAAACATCGGCCAGCTACCTCCCACACACCCTCCACCGGGGATGTGCTCGCAACCAATGTACATGCCCTTGACCGGAATCGAACCTGGGACCTTTCAGTCCACAGACTGACGCTCTATCACTGAGCCAAACCGGCTTTGGCAAGATCCTATTTCCAACTGAGTGATCTTGGGCAAGTGCTTCACTCAGTTATCACTTAAGTGGTCATCATAATGGCTCTTGCCTCTATAGTTATTGAGAGGATTTAATTAATAAATTCATTTAAAGCACTTACAACAGTGTCTGGCCATTGTGAAGTTTCAGC